CCGCATGAGCTTTTATCAGCCGAATATCAACGGCGAAAGGCCCCTTGAATACACTGGATGGAAAATTTACGCGCTTGGAGAAGGAGTAATAGCTGGTGCGTTTATTTTCAGGCATTTGACGACCGTTTTTTTTTCGCTAGTGCTTCTGCTAAATTTGGAGGTGACGCCATTGTAGATGACGTCATGCCGAGCCCCATTCCCTCGGTACTGCTTTCCCATTAATGGCTCGAGGTAGTGGAAACTGAATGGAAATGAGCAAAATCGTCCAAGGCTTTCTGCAAGCTCAAGAAATGCCCAAGAAGGTTCCAGATCATTTTGTCTGGGCAAAGCCATCATCTAATGCAAGTGAGTTCAAATTCCCTATGGTTCGGGACTTGATACTCGGATCTTTACGAATTGAAGCTCTTTGCTGTTAATCTGACTAATGTCATCTAGGCTCTGATAACTTTGGAGGGGCATCCAAGGTATTCCTCTTGCTGAGAGAGAATCAGCACCATCTGAACGGAAAACCATACTAGAAATTGGTACCCTCACTGGAGCTCATCCTCCCTTTATGCTTAAGGGCAAAAGGCACGACTAATTCCAAGACGTGCAGGATTAGCATGCCTAGCAGGGCAGAACTGGCGCCCCGGAGCAGGCGCTGCGTAGCCCTTTCCGAGCTGGTACCCTTATAGCGCACTATCAACCTGCCGCATACGATCTGAACGCTCATCGCGCCCGCCCACAAATGTCCGACCGATGCTGATGCTCGTATCGCTTCATTTGCGAAGTACTGTGAGCGAAGGGATTGATATGAAGCGGCTGCGGTGCTGCATGGATATATGAGTACATATGTGCAGCCGTACCTACCGTAGTTACTGGCACGATGCCAACGGGAAACTCGTCCGAAATTGTTCTCCAGGGCGTTTTTTGCAGATCCTCCACCATTTCACATCGTTTTTTCGCCATTTTACCCACTATATGGCACCCCTGCTAGGATTTCAGACTAAGCGTCAAATAATCCTGCCTGATAACTTTAAAAAAACTCTATCTTCATTACGTATTTCTAGTTTTGCACAAGGAATCCTTCTAATACATCCCCTAGAGATATAAGCGCCAATATTTGTAGTAATTTCATTGGTACTAGTAGTTTACTTGGAAATAAGCACTAATTTGTAGGGCGTGAGAATCCTGGAAACGGACAGAACTTCTTCCTCTCCTTCTCCCCTCCCAGCTTTGTAGTCTTTAGAGAATTTTTTTCTGGGGGATTGAAGCTATCAAGGAAATGAGGATGGACTTCGGGATGAAACGGTGAAGAGAAGATTGTATTGAAGGGCCAGTTCTCTTTGCCAAGCCGTGCCCTGGCTGATCAAGAAGGCCTACTTCCTCGTAAAAACGCGCTCCAAAAAGGCTCTCTATAAGTGGTTAGGGTACAATGCAATTATCCCGAGTGGATTCAATTTTCAGCATAACCGTAATTGAGTTAGTTCTGTACTATTTTAGTAGAAATAGGGGAGGAAAAAGAGAAGAACGGGTGCTTAGTAGAAGATGAAGTGGAATACGAAACGAATCCGGGATGACCGGGGTTTGCCACTGTGGGACATCCCGGGAAGAGAACGCATTACACTCTCGTTATAAGGGCTATGTAATTTGGTTATCGTTATAAAATGATACAGAGAAAATGGCGAAAAAAAATGAAGCGCAAAAGTCAATAAACCTGAGAAGAAAAGCGCTTACGTGTTCAGTGACTGAAAGGTAATTTCGGACAGAGTTCGCCACGTAGGCATTGTGCGCAGCAATCGTCTAGGCGGCAGATACGGCTGCACGTATGGTACTGCATACATCCATGGCAGCACCTGGCGGCCTTCTCATATCAAAACCATATCGCGCTAATACATTACTTTCAACAAATGACAGGCAATTACGAGCATCAGGTAGCAGTCCGTCCATTTTGTGGGCGGGCGGGGTGAGGTGGCGTTCTGGGTCGGAATGTCTTCAGCTTGATAGGGGGCCTCAATGGAATAGGTCGATACGCTGTGCGCCTGGTCAGGAGTGCCGAGATTCGGCGATCCTGTCAGGCGTACAATTCCTAGCTCGTCTTGGAGACGGACCCGTGTCCAACTGGCTTTTAAAGTCATAAATAATCTATTATTCACACTAATATTTGCATTTTCGCAAAATCCATCACTTCGTTCAGGATCTCTGTGTCCATTCCCAGTGTGCCTTAGACAGCGCTATGGGGGGGGGGGACTGTTATCAGGCTACCACTGTTTATCAGGTCCACTATCTGGCGCTCAAGGGTTTCTCGGAATCATCACGAATGTGGGTAGATGACGTGTAGCGGTTAATAGACATGCATACGAGAAAGACTATGGCAAAGTCTCGTAAAGTGCAAAGCTGCCACTTCCAGAAAAAATGCGAACCTCACGGGCAAACGCTATTAAAAAATCAATAAAGTAAAAAAAAGTGTGATAAAAAGCTAATCTGCATGCTTCTCCATGAAAGCACCTAACTCCCCATAGGCCAGAGAGAATCTGAGAATCACTTGGCAAGCAGGTATTGGCAAGAATTCAAAAAGTGGGCCAATATAGTGGAGCTGGGGGGGGTGGGAGGGGGAAGACGCGAGGTGCGACTATGAAACGTCATATCTGCTTGTCTGCGCTCTCTCATTGTGAAAAAATGTACCCATTTGAGGCCTCGAAAGACGCGAGAAGACGAGAAACGACTGGCAAGAAGAGACATGACAAGGCAATGTGACGCTGTCAAAATGGCCCCTGCCAAATACCACTGCCGCTTACAATAAGATTCTTTAGATAGGATACCTAAATAAATCACAAGAGAATTCCCGCATTAATTCGTAAGACTCGTAGAGCCGAGAATAACAGTGCTTTTTTCCTAGCTTTTTCGCTCTCTTGGCGTCTCGTCAAGAAAGATTTGTTGAACTTGGTCATTGCTAAGTAACAATTTTTGTAGCTGCAGTATTGTATTCCTCACGTTCGCCTTCTGAAATGTTGCCAGCAAATAAGTAAGCTACAATATTCTGTGGCAGCTTGAACTCGTTTCATCAGGATTCCAAAAGCACAATTCCGCGTTGGGCGCATGGGCGGGGTATTTTGAATGTTTTTGCACCACTGCATCTTTCTTCGGTCTCTTCTTTGGGGCTTAGCTTGTGTATAGAAATGCGCACAAGTGAGGAAAATGTGATGGTCCGAACGACCCAGCCCACGTGGTCATTGTGAAATATACATCTGACGGGAGGTGGACAAGCTCTTCGGAAACTTCTCTGAGGCGTACTGTAAGCGCTGTTAGAAGTTTCCCGGTGAAACCGTGAGGGATGTGATTCTTTCCCCTGGAAACTTCTAAGGAAGCACGGGAACTTCCCGTGCTTTCTGGTCCACAAAGTGCCCTTCAAGGGGTAAAAAAACGAAAGAAAAATCTGAAGAAATTGCTAGCATGGCCAAAGGGCAAATATGAGCGTGGCAGAGATGTTGAGGCCTTACAACTAGAAATTAACACCTAGACCTACATTTACACTTCCATTCCGCATAACCCATCATTTTCAGCGACGAAAAATTCATAATTTCCATTTTCAGCTAGAAGAGGAATGACAGCTTTCCAGTCGAGGCCCAGAATTTCCCGCTGATATTTAATCGCTGGATTTTGGAGATTGGAAAAATGCCCGTAGAGCGTTATTACAAGCATTCTGAGCAATGGGAACACATCCAATTCCGAACGAGTTATAAGCATGCGCATATGCTCTTTAAAACCCTGGTTATCCATTACAGTACCGGATCCCTTGCAGGGTACATCGTTATTGGGGATTCCCCAACAGGGGGTTCCTATTGATCGTGGGAAAGGTGGGCTGTAGTTAGGAGGAGAAAAAAATTTTTCGGTAGTTGGTTTTTCTTGTTTCACAGACTTTGTGAAGAAGGTCGTATTTTTCCTGTGGTACCTTCCTGCTC